AGMATYCTTCTTGCATTGTTGCTGTTCAGAAGAAGGCCCAGCAACAGCCTCTTCCGATTGCTGATGCACTTTGTCATATTTAGATGCRACACCTTGGAATGGCTTGGAATTAACTTCAACACTTGCACAGAAGTTTGCATCTGAAGTAAGTGCAGAATCAACTGGATTCAAGTATAGGTTTTCATCATCATAATATATGGAGGTCAACTTAGCAGATKGTGGTATTGCATCATGCACTTCAGAGTAGGTCGATAGATCCGTATCATATAGTATATCATGTGTMATGTTATGAGTGGATGGTTTTGGGTAGTCTATGTCATCGACTGGTGCAGCATACTGTACAGCATCTAGGCCCACTATCTGTACAYCCTCTGAGTTTGCGTTGCTGATGTTTCTTTGTTCTTGTTCACATAATCTTGTATTAAAGGCTGCAATTCTTTTTGATGGATTTCTTTAGAGGAAATAGCAAAATATAATTAAAATCGACTTTTTACCGCACTTRGAATTACCAAATCCTTGGTATACTTTTTCTCCTTGATATCACAGAATTCTCTTGTGATTAAGTTATAATATAATTTGGAATTAAAATCTACGAACGYGGTCGCCGTTCGACACCTCSATAGTCATCAAGGAGTTGAACGAYGCGCAACTTATCGGAATGATAGTTTTTTTATAMTTTGAAACTATATGGGGGCACAGATAGTCTAAGGCGTCACCAGTTTACACCTTCTCCTTTCTCTTTCTGATTTCCTGGAACTATCGCTGGTKTAAGGAGAAATTAAAAGTCGCGGGCGATGCTAATAACCTCTGCGAGCAAGGGCGACTAGTTGCCAAATTATCAACCTCATTTTTTAAACAACATCTTGCTTACCTAGAWGATTTAATCTGTCTTGGTTTTTGTCCTAAAATAAGAAACGTATATTTTATTGTTTTATTGTTTTGTTTTGTTGAGGCTGAAAAAAAAAAAAAAACGATTTGAAATACAAATTTGCGAGTGCATAGCGACTATTTTTCTATGCAATCGACTCAACGACGACTAGCCTTGAATGGTTTGTAAACTAACCTGATTTCTTTCTGAACCAGCAAAATACAGCAACAAAGATACATATAAAAACAGCCAGTGAAACAGCGAGTGCAATCACCACGAGCATGATGCGAAATGACTGTTCTTTCCTGACAGTCTTAGTTGTACTGGAAATAGTTGAAGTATCTTGATCACGAGTTAAGGAAAAAGTCATTGTTATTAGTTCCTGATAGTTATTTAACATTATCATTAGGTCTAAAAAAATAAAAAAATAAAAAATAAAATAAAAAGACAAAAAAAATAAAGACATTTACGCGCAGGAATGGACGATAAGTGGGACTAATACTTTTGGTTTTTGGTGTCCCCTGGTGAAACAAACTAAAAAGAACCTGTCTCTAACACCAGGATCACCCTTATCTTCATGTCAACTGCCTCAACCTATGCTTTACTAAACAGTTTACAAACGACGGGGTAACCGAAGTGAGCTAAAAGTTATCACCTGGCTGTCGATATTTACTGTTCTAGCTACTTACATGCGGTTATAGAAGTCGTCGGTTGCACCACGTTTTCACTTGAAGTTGTTTTTTCTTTAGTCGCATTAGTTGTTTTTTCAATACTTGATGTTGGCCCGACAGATGAATTGTGCTTTGTTTTATCATCGTTCACATTAGTATGGTAATAAGTGTGGTTGATTACATCTGTATTAGTTGTTTTTTCAATACTTGATGTTGG